TTGCTTTCGCCACCCACTACTGTTCGCGATCGTTACGTAGGCTTTTTATAAGTCTGTGCCTAAGTTGACTTCGTTCGTCATCATGTTCAGAGCCAGGTGGGATGAGTTTTCGGGCATCCATCAGATCGGTGGATGCTACTGAGATCCACGGTTTCATTCTAGCCTTATGGTCAACCTTACTAGCAGATATCACTGCTGTTTCCACAGCCTTTTTGATATCATTCCATCCTGCTTCCGGATGGGAATCGCTTAAATGGTCGCCTAACTGTCTTTCTAGTTGTTCCTGAAATATATTTTTCGCCTTATTATCATCAAGTAAAACCCTAAGAGGCTTTCTTACGGTGTCTTTCCTACGCCCAGTAAGCTTCAAGCAAATACGCGCTCGCACTAGGGCATGATCTGAATCTAAACATGTGCCCCAGAACGAGCGACAGTCTTCTATCGAACCCCTCCATCGGTGGCTGATGGCGATGTGATCTAGTTGAGTCCAACGTTGAGACGACTTTGGAGGTCGCCAGGTCAACAGATGCTTTTCCTCATGCCTAAAGTTAGTGTTTGCTAAGAATAGGCGGTTGTCTGAGCATGCTTGCAACAGACGGTCACCATTGTCTGTTCTCTGAGCCGCGACACCATAACATCCACCTAGGTGTCTCTCCTGCTCACTTAGTCTACCTACTTGAGCATTAAAGTCACCAGCCATTATTACTATATCAGAGCGCCTAGCTTTTTGGAGGAGGTCCGAAAGCTTTCTGTAAAACTCATTCTTAACCTCGTCTGAACTGCAGTCAGTGGGGGCATAGGCAGATACGACGAAGAGGCAACGGCGAGTGTCCCTATCTTTCCGAGTCCTTACTGTCCCGTTTAGTCGGACAGCGCACAATCGACTATCTATTGGGATCCAGTCAAGGAGAGATTGTTCTGCCCTACGACTCAATGCTATGCCTACGCCAGCAAGACCCCGGGAAGCAGCATCAGGGCTACCGGATACACGAAGAGTAAATCGAGCTGCTTCTTTATTTTGACATGGTGCGGCCAAGTGTATGACGTGACTCGGATCCTGTATGCGCGTTTCCGAGACGCAGCATACATCGATCGAGCGAGATTCTGATGTCCCAGTTAAGGAAGCCTGTTGCCCTATTTGACACAATGTCCGTACATTAAAAGCTCCAACATGTCAGTCAGTTGCAACGTAGAACTTCGTACGTATGTACATAAGTTGATGTTGCCATACCACATTATTAGCACAGAAACGCAAATGTCAAATCGAATCCCATAGTGATAAAGATAGTAGAGGTATTAATGTTAATAAAGAAGACTAGGGTTTGAAGATATTATTCAAAAAATACAATTCAGTGAGATAAGGTTAGAAAGACAAAGGTAGAGGTGCTGGCTAATCCAGAAGATTAGGATTTGAGAGAGCTCAAAGAGTGGATGCACCTGCGCCATTGCAAACGATTTTGAGCCATGTCGTTCAAGGTCTCTAACCATTGATGACTTTCGTCTCGCGGACCCCAACCAGGTAGTCTACATCTACCAACATGACTCAGTCCACTTGTCAGAGACTTCATGGATTTGTGCCATGTTTTGGTCTGGCCGCCCCTAACTTTCTTCCAACCTACTCCTACGCCACAAAATATAGCTCGTCGAGGCAGTCGGTGGTTAGGCATACGCAACACGTGTCCCAACCACCTCAACTGATGAAGTTTCACCACTTCATCTATTGATCTGCCATCCTAACCTAGTACTCGTTTCCTAACGACAGCATTGCTTACTCGGCTGTCCCACGATATACGATCAATGCTTCTTAAACATCTATGATCGAATACTAGTAACCTACGAACATCTACTCTTAACGGCCATGTTTCACAGCCATATAAGAGAACGGAACGAACCGCTGCGCAGTACACCCGCCCTTTGGTTAGCGAACGGATATCACGCCTACGCCATAAGTGACGCAGGTTGGCAAAGGCCGATCGAGCCTTCTGTATCGGAGCTGAGATTTCGTAAGTCACTGCACCAACATGTAGTCTAGAGCGGGGTTTCAGGAGACCAGAAATGACGTTTCGTAAACTCGCATCGTTTGCATTAGCGGTGCAGTGTGATGAAGGAATGTGAGAAGAGTTAGTCGTGGAGATAAGAGAGGTATTAGGGGGTGTAGGAAAGATTTGGTTTTGACCAATTTGGTCTCGTGTGTTGTTACGGGTATGAGGGCGGTTGTTCCTTCCCGGCTGCCCACACCGTGGAAGGTTGTTTCTTGAGGAACCTGAAAAGGAAGATAGATTAGTGTTGGTGCGTGACCGCAGAGCCCAAGGGACAACTGCTTGAGGCCGGTCACGCACGGCCTTTTTATGAGAGGAATTTAGAGGATTAGCTCCGTACTTAAAGACCGTTAGAGTGCACCCTCACCCAATGAGACGGAAATCCGTGAGGTAGGGGAGGTGTGACATTTTTAGGGCCGACCTTTTCTAACCCTTCCTTCCTTGTGAGAAGGCAGCATCGCTGCAGATGCTGGTTGTCCGAGGGAAACACCTTACTACTGTCACACCCCTCTGCAGTCAGCAGTAAGACCTCGCCCTCAGACCTTGGGTAGCTGCTTTTAGTCTCATCGTTCTCCAATCGACCTGTCTGGCATGGTAGAACCTTGAGGAACATATGTTCCAGCCAGTATAGCTCGGTTGGGTCATCACGATATGCAAGCCCGACCACCACGTCAAGGTAGCAGCTACGGTCGGGCATCAAGGAAACCGGTATCAGGAACTCGAATGTGAGCGAGACTATTTCGGAAAAGGACGGTCTTATTATTTATTCTTAATCCAGGAGAATGAACCGACGGGCAGAACACTTTAGGAATCAGTTCAACTGGCCTTCATATGAATTTCCAATACCCACAATCTCCAGCCATCCTGAATGGCTAGTCGACGTAAGGCCTGCGAACCGTTATGAGTTGAAAAAGCTATAGGAGATCTAAAGCGAGGGCGAGCAGCAGGTCCTGATAGGCTTACCCCTGAGACGTTTATAGATGGTGAATTTTGTCCGTATTAGGCATAGGGTTCGAACATTAAACACTCCTATGTGTAATTTAGTATGGAGTTTCAAGAGATCAGGAATAACTTTTCGTGAACTCGCATCGTTTGCATTAGCGGTGCAGTGTGATGAAGGAATGTGAGAAGAGTTAGTCGTGGAGATAAGAGAGGTATTAGGGGGTGTAGGAAAGATTTGGTTTTGACCAATTTGGTCTCGTGTGTTGTTACGGGTATGAGGGCGGTTGTCACTCCCCGGCTGCCCACACCGTGGAAGAGTGTTTCTTGAGGAACCTGAAAAAGAAGGTAGATTAGTGTCGGCCTTAACGATCTGGGAGCGTGACCACAGAATCCAACGGACAACTGCTTGAGGCCGGTCATGCACGGCCTTTTATGAAAGGTTTTTTGAGTATTAGCTCCGCTCTTAAAAGCCCTTAGTGGGCAGCCCTTACCGCCAGAGACGGAAATCCTTGAGGTAGGGTGAGGTGTGACATTTTTAGGCTCGACCTTTTCTAACCTTTCCTTCCTTGTGAGAAGGTAGCATCGCTGCAGATGCTGGTTGTCCGAGGGAAACACCTCACTGCTATCATACCTCTCTGCAGTCGGCAGTACGACCTCACCCTCAGACTTTGAGCAGTTGCTTTTAGTCTCATCGTTCTCCAATCGACCAGCCTGGCATGGTAGAACCTTCAGGAACATATGTCAGAGTCAATATAGTTCTGTTGGGTCATGACGATAGGCAAGCCTGACCACCACGTCAAGATAGCAGCTACGGTTGAATTAAGTATAAGGTCGAATTCGGTCTAATGTAACTGTTTTTAATTTTTTTGGGGTACAAGTATGACAACTTTTTTACAACTAGTCAAAATAAGTAACATTTCGTGTCTCATGAACAATGACTGAACAACAGATAAGCTATTTATTAAGTTCTAATTTCTCACTATTCACCAACAAAATGTTTTTCAGAATAAATTAACATGAAAATATTGAATTAAATTACATGAATCCATATAGAGGTAACCCTGTTTGTGATGTAAAAGTTATTTAAACTGTTCCATATCTTTAAATTAAACGTAGACTAGTGTAAAGCATAACATTATGTCAGTACTGATAATTTTAACTAGCGTTAGTCATTATAAACAAATCACACCCTATTTAATAATTAATAATAACTATGGACTTTTACCTTTCAAAGGCATACTAAAAATTAACTTCACTATTTAGTACATGCGGTAACTGATTGTTAAGCTTAAATGGTATTCTCGGTCGTTTTTTAGTCAGGTGGGCTAGAGAACTAGTGAATCGAGACTGCAATGTAGTGTATTTCTATGGTAGTAAAAGTATTCAAGAAATCGTAACTATGTTTTTTGCCTGGTTTTTAATAGTAACCTGAATAAAATCAGAGACTTTACAAAGAAACTGGTCTGATTTACTCTGTACATCAATTGGAGATCATAATAGTGGGCTAATCAGAGTAATAATAGTCTACATCTGGATTTAATTAAGTGGACAAAAGATGCCACTTATGAGTAATAATTATATGATCAGCATGAATTGTAGACTGATCACTGTAAATCTTGTTTGTATTCAGATAATTGCGTGACCACTTTCAAAGCTCTCGCAAGCTTCATAAACAGTATGAATACTTAAGAGCAGCTTTAAGGATATAAACATTCATTTCCAAAGAGACATCATTATCTTTGATAACTAACATAGAGTGAAACGCAGTTTCCGTTAGAGAGAATAAGTTTAATATTCATCAACATGAAACCTTGGAAGTGATGTTTTTTTAATCATAACAAAAATAATTCATATGCAGTTAATGAGGGAATCAACCTAAGTTTGAAGTGCACACAAAAATAAAATGGTTTCTGATTAATCTGTACAGCACACTGGAGATTAGCGTTAAACGCGAACTTGTTTGGTAACAAATAATTTGGCTTTAAGAAATACTTGCACAAAATATTGTCAATTCACAGATTATAAATATTTAATACAACCTACCCAGGGTTGGTTTTGTCGGAAATCCTCCAATACTTTGAAAACTTTACACACAGGATCAGTTGCTTTCCAGAGTGAGAAGAAAAAACGGAAAACCAAATAGTAACGAAATCAGGATTAAGCATAAATAACTTTATTCAGCACGTGAAAAAATCTAAATGGTGCTGGTCAATGCCGTGTTTTATCTCGCGTTATGAAAAAATCTCGATTCGGAAAATAACCAGTTAGTATAAGCAAGTGTAAGAAAAAATACGATAAAAGGAAAGCAAAATATTCAAACCAACAAATTGGAAACTTACTAGGACCAAAGTTAATTGTTGCTAGATAGCGCTTGTCAGACGAACCACATTTTAATAGACCGTCGGAGGGACCATCTGATGTGAAAATTACGATATTCTCCCCCAAATGTAAACGTGATAAATTGTAAAGCCCTTCTAAGTATGTTTGATCGCATGTTGGATATGAACCATATTCATTTTCTAGCTGATAATGAATAAATGCGAAAAATTTAATGTAAATATGCATTTTAAGATATTTTTCTATTAATAATAAGTCTGATGAAATTTGAGTAATATTGGTTATTAGGCCTTGACTGGATGTCTGCATAGTGATATAGTCGATAAAACACCTGAGGGTTTTCAGAATGCAGGTTAAGAATGTGAACATATTAAAGAATCCAATAAATAATTTCAGCATCGAAAATAGTTCCCTTTGTATTTCTAATCGTTATGCTCGTCACTTAATATGCTTGAACTATTACGAGGTCACCTTAGTCAGTAAACGAGAGCTAAGACGAATGATCCAGTGACACGTTACTCTAATTCGAGCGTCCCAAGCCCCCACTAACGGTATCAAAATTTCTTGATATGGCGTAGAAAGTGTATTCTAAAAGCACCCAGAAAATATGAGGTTTTGTAGAGAAGAAGAGGAGCATTAAACTTTACAGATCACGCATGTTTATACAGTTAGGTCGACCGTGAATACTAACCAATAGGAAACAACATATAAAAGTATGTGAACTTGATAGTTTAGGACTAAAATAATTTCTTTAAAATATTTGATGAATATTCCAACACCAACCGTCAATAGTTCTATGAAATCGCTCTTATTTCTATTCGATTCTATAAAAGTTGTGATACAAGGAAGTATTCATCGGCAAAATATGTGTGAATGCGCATGTAGTTTACGTAATTAATATGATCACAAATCCGTTCTACTAAGACACTGATTCTGTCACTTGACTAGAACCCTTCAAAGCAGGATGCATTAGTTAATGCCGGAAACCAACGATTAAATTTTAATAAAGTAGTTTACCTGCACCATAATTATCGGTCCACCATTCTCATAAAGAAAATGTTTAATGATAGGTAACAGAACGTCGAACCATTTCGTCACATAATTCATATATTCTGTTAAGGGATTAAATTAAAAGTGAATATCAGTAGATTAAGTAACATTTTCTTCGGCATTTACAATCACTTCAGAGTTTTGCCTGACTTTTTTTAAAACAATCAATGCCGTTATAATATCTACATGTTTGTATGAGAAGTAAACTTTTAACTTAATGTTAATTAAGTAACAAATTTTACTCAATAAAATATGAACTTAAAAACAGCCGAATCATATACCATAGAAAACAATAACTGCAACCCTTATTTTACATTATTCGAAATCTCTCACAACAGTGAAAATGTACTCATGATTAACACTTTCTTTATTTGTTTTTATTTTTTCAACTTTGGCTATTCGAGCTTTGAAATGCGGTACACTTAGAAGCCGTGTATTACTTCATTAGCTCCTACAACGTATTACTTACTTAAAGAATCGCTGGACCTTGAATAGCAAATCACAGTAAAACAGAAAGTTAACGTGTAAGTTTAGTGCTCCAAAAGCCTGGCCAAAGTTAAATCGCGGTTTGTGTTAGGTGATGATAAGAATACTAGTTTCATTCAATACTACAAGATTTTCCAGCAAATTATCATACCTGCTACCTGGGTCCCAAGTAGTCTTAACATACTTGGTTCCCTTATCCTTGATACTGTTAGTGTATTGGCTTGACAATCTAGGTGTCATTAGTAAGAGGTACAGCTTATCAAGCACCATATGATTGAAAACATGGGCCACAAGAAAGTTAGTGAGAGATAACGGACAATATAAGACACTCAAGATTGCACGTTACTAAATTTTAATCAAATGCACCGTTTAAAAAATATTTTTTCACTTACTATTCGTTCTAAATTTCTGATCTTTCAAACGAAGATCATGACTTTAGTGAAAAAACCTAATGGAGATATTCCATGAGAGATGCTACTTAAATTTCAACTCGGATTAGAAATCAAGTGATTCTAATAACTGCTGCATAACATGCTGTGACTGATGAGAAACCACCTGATACAACCTGAAGCGTTTTTACTATCATAAACAAATACGTTCTCATCACAAAAGGTAAATACTTTATTGAGTAAGTTATTCCTCATAAAACTATTCTATACATGAAAAGTGGTAGGAATGTAGATACGAAGAAATAAAAGTAAGGGCCAGAAACTTTTGCCTACAATTGGATTCTACTTTGGATTTGATAGTTTCTGGGTTTACATCATTTTCAAGATGAAAAAACATAATTTTATGAGTAATCTACATAAGCATTTTAACTTAGCGCTAACTGCAAACTACCTGGATCACTGGAGCGTAATTTCATCAATGGATTAATCCGTAAAAGCCAAGGAGGCAACCCACCCTGAAAACCGAACAAAACGTCACTTTAGAAGTCGAATTAGTTGTGAATGAAATACTAAACATTTAACATACTGATATTTCAAACTCACAAAAATCCCATTCAGCACATATATATGGTCCGACTCGTGCAATTACCAAACAGATCTAACGATGAAGCCAGTTTCCAAAAACCTTTGCAGACTTCGGTCACCATGAAAAATTGAATATATCACTTTCGGGCTGATGGAAATTCCATGGTATATAACTAAGCACAATAAAAGTAATTACTGAATACATGTTATATTATGTACAAACTTGCTAGATACAGGTCATTTATTGTAACAAACCTTCAGCAGCCTTTAAGTCCTAAAACAGCTTTCAGTTTCGCTTAAGAGTTAATGCAGATATTCAGAGTGACATAATATTTACTGATCAATACTGTTTTTATACGAACAAACAGCAAATGAAAGTAAAAACAACCAGAAGTTATCAATAGCATTCATTGAACACATGAAATCTTGGTTACCTTAGGGTTTTATATACAAGTAAAAGTCGTTTTATTACTGACATGCAGTTTATAAAAAGATCTGTTCACATAATTTACTGTGTGCAAATAATCCGAAAGTAGAAAGTTAAAAACAAGACAAACATGAAGATTTCAAACAGTTAAACTTACATCTGAATGGCATCAACCCAGCAGCCTTCATTTTGAAAAAGTCGGTCAGGCCAGTACTCTTGCGGGATGCGAAAATAGTGTATACTTCCGGAAACTATTGGAAAGGTGCATCGTCTTTTCATGAACACGTGATTACTATAGTCGACACGTGAATGAACGTTTTACTTTGTATTAGCAGTAACAGGGAAAACAGGGACTAATAAAATGAAAATAAAGCGAAGATAACATTTTCTCCTGAAAGCAATGTGGACGGAGAAAAGATATCATAGTATCTAGATTTTTACAATACACAGAATATATTTTAAACCACGAGCGTGCTCACATCGTTTTACCACTAAAAATTTAGCAACAGCAGAAAATTTAGAAATACTCCCAAATTTTATGGGAATTTCTCTGCACGTAAAACTTTAAACAGCATCAAAAGCAGGATGTAAAAGAAGTTAAAATGTACAGAAGTTTCATCTAAACAAAACCTAATATTCCATGAAAAATACAGGAAATTATTAGATATTTAAGGTCGATAGCTTTTAGCAAATAACTAGTCGTCGAATTACTCACGTTTTTTGTATCTGATCGTCTAGAAAGAGGTATTTCAAACCAACACATGCTATCGTGATATTTTCGACACTCGAACATAAGAAAATGGAATTCCTGACCCAAAATCCATCCTTGTCGTTTTGCTGTGGATTTTTATTCTGTTTGCCGTTCTATTCTAAATGCCAAGTTACAAACGCACATCTACATAAAGATAAGTGATAAAAATCACTACCTTTGCCCATATTAATGGTTTACTACTGAACGCCTTGTAAAAATCACTTTACTACCGTTCCGAAATGATAATTTGCAAAACCAAATGACGGAGTTATTGTCAGCTGTCCCAAGATGTTCCACGTGCCACATGTGTTGCAAAGGGCACTCCTGTGCCACCTACTTTCTATATATTCACTAATGACATTCAAGAGAGTTTCAGCTCACCCGTTCTCATTTATACCGACTATAGAAATTTGAAGTTACTAGGCAAGTCGACAAGGTGCTATTACGAGCAGCTGAACCTTCAGAAGTAAATAGTTTGTTCATAAGTTTAACAGTTGTATAATTATTGATCGATATTTTCCAAAACGCGCAGTCGCGAATTGAGTTTAAGCAACGTCAATTCACAAGATAAATCTGAGAATTTATTGAGTAGCCAATACTTGAATTTCCTGAAATTTTTCAAATGCCTCTGTAATTTTCAGCTTTTAGTGTGCTTCTACCCTGGAATCATATTGTATGCTACAGCGTGTGATGCATTCAACTAGGACATGTGAAAAGGTGACCTAATTGTTAAATTGGCAAACACTCCACAATGACATTTGGCTGATCAACAATAATTAGTACCAAGACTATCTTAAAAATGAAACAACAACATAAACATAGACTCTGTCGCGCGTGCGAATGCTATAAATTCAATCTCGCTTTTGAGGACATCACGATTACTTCCGGTTAATGAAGGGTACTGACTGCTTACAAAATGCGATTGCTGTTAAATGAACAGTTAATAGATAAACACAATCAACATATACATAACCTGATAAATGGTTTAATGTATACGATTTTTCTAACCGCTTGTTTAACCAGAGGGTCACAAACCATACTACAAATAATTTTGCAATGTCATGTACTGCAAAACGAGACTCGTTTTCACTGTTTTGGAATTACAAGATAATATGTCTAAATAAATCAGGCCAAAATCCTAATTTTCACAGTGTACAACGAGGAAATAAGAGATTTACGCGGAAAACACAGCAATCGCACTGTAACACTGCTCTATGCAATCTGGTAGTGAGAATTGAATTAATGTAAGCTGTCATAGAATACCATATTTTACTTGTTTAAAAGAAACACATTGAACAAACTGCATGATGACACTATGCAAGATACTATTAACAACACTTATTTTTGTATCGTAGCTTTTAATGTTTATTAAATGATTATATGGCCGAGTTAGTTGATTTGCTTTAGAATCCTGACGTTTGCACTATTTGTTCACTTTTCGAAAATTTAGTTCAGTTATTTTATTTCAGTGGCTGAGTTCAGTGGATGTATGTATATTACATATTCCTGCAATTCGAATTATATAAGTGAGAGTGTAACTGGACACTTTCTTAGATAATGAAGCTAAGTAGATCAGAGAAAAAATCATTGTTAGAATATCACTGTTCATGTAAACGCAGATGTACAAACTTTAAGAAAAAACCAGTAAAAAGGCAAGCAAAGGACCCATATCGCCTGCATCAGGTTTTAAAAAATCAGGACAATCAAGCTAGAACCCATTCCTTAGATATATTTGAGATGAAACTGTATTAAGTAGTAAAACAAGAAAACTCACTCATCACTCCTTCACTTGATATTTGTGGCATTAGACTGTAGTTT